TTGCTAACAATTTTCATTGTTTTAAGTTCTACCATAAAGCTTTAATATGGCCACTTTGCCCCTGCATATAAAAATCTTGTATCACAAATCTTAAAAAGGGCAATGTTATTAAGTTAATTTGTCACCACCATATGGCGGCACTCACACCCACTTAATAATAAACTTGAGAGAAAAAATACAATTACATTGTCAGCTGATTACATCACCAATATACCTTGTTATTGATACGGGAAATAAGGTGGGCAGAGAATTAACATTTTGAGATCTTCAACTCGTATGAAGATCATAAAAATTGTTATGTAGTTATTTCACATTTGAATCAAGCAAAAACATTCTTAATTTTCGCATAGCGAAAGATTCACTTGGAAATTCAAAACTTTATTTGAAAACGAATCAAATCAGTCTTCAAAATCGGTTTAGTCTTTTAGGTTTTAGGACATCACGACGAAATTAATATAAGTACAAACAAGCGAAAAACTTTAATGAGACGGGATAGAATTATAGTGTGTTTATTTATTTATGGATTAGTTTGACAAGTGACACCTTTAAAGTATCGAATTAATTTTGTATGAGGTTAAATGTGGTACTTTTCGGACGATTGTCATAGTATCTTGCCGTACACGCATTACGAGCAACTATGATATATCGAGAATCAGTCTAGTAATAATATTGATCCAACAAATAAATACTAAACTTAGGTATTTTATTACTTTTTGAATTTACTAGTTATTTAGCGATGTCTCGCGCAATTAACTAAAAAAACATTAAAAAAAAGTTCTTTTTGTTTCTCAACATATCAATTTTTTATTTAAAATTTTATTTCTCTACGTAGTTTTGAAGAATAAAGTTGGAATAAAATAAACATCTTCATTTAAATTATAAATCACAAACAATAATCACGAAATTTTCGATTGCAAGTTCTATTAGAACAACCATCGAGAATAGAAAATTTTCATAACCGATTTTAATCAAACCCAATTCTAGTGAATTGTCAAACTAATCTATCTTAAATAGACACACTATAAATAAAGCAGTTTTTTAAAAATGCTTTTATATCTAAAATACATAAGAAGTGGAAAACGAGCACAAGATTACAAAACAAACGCGGGTTCTGTGCGTTCTAATTTTAAAATCGGGCGCGAACGATTGCCGCGAAAACGCAACGATACAAGCGGCCAGTAACAAATTGAGTCACGCCTCGCAAATAGACCTATTATGAGATTCACCTGGACTTTGGAACAAAACAAATTGGGAATTACATCATTGTTTAACAGATAATAAACATGTTTTCGTTGCAGTATGCTGAAAACAGCACCATAAATTGAATATTATTTTACTAAAAAACACACTTCTTTATGTTTAATATGTCAAGTATGGTTATACACATTATATTTTCTTTAGTCTATGGTAAACAACAAATCAAATATCAATACTTATCATATGACGAAAATCATATGTGAATGTTCTTGTTAAATTGAATGCAGACAAGAATGCATTGGGAAGAAGCAATGATAACATCAGATAAAGCATTATAGACAGTATTGCCCGACAATAGGGTGTATTTCACAATACCGCAAAACACCAATGTATTTATTATGGTTACATATGCAAATTTCAACTTTATCACTATGTCAGATGATTTGAATTGCAATGTAGTGAAAGCCAAGATGTCTGCCAACAATGGAGTACTACTCGTCTAGAGTAACAAAGTGCCAGTTAAAGTGAATAGTCAAGCCAACTCTCTCTTGAGATAACAAATGTTATCAAGAGTCCTATGCAGTGGCTAACTTAGGCTACTTTTACTTTTAGATTTTTCAATATTATTTCTGCGTATTTAAAGTTGTTGAATGATTTGTTTTACCTATTTATTAAGTGTATGTATAAATCAAGAAATATAATTGTTACATTACTTAAAATAAGTACACATTAAATACTTATCTTTAACTCTAATTTATTGTTTGTTTCATGGGCTATGTCTATTTTTCTCATGTTGTTATATCCTTTTATCTTTACTAATAATAAAAGAGAAAAGATTTGATTATTTGTATTGAATAGGCTCCAAAACTACTAAACTAATTTGAAAAATTCTTTCACTGTTGACAAGCTGCACTTTCTCCGGAAGACAAATTATTTTCATTACTATATATTTTTTTAGTTTAGTTAGTTTAGTAGTAGATAACATTATACAGTCATATTGGCAGCGAAAGTATTAACCAATGTGACCTTCCTGAGACCAACAGATGAAGGGACACTTATGTAACTACGGATGTCTCAGCAGCTCGAGGACACTTGACTAAATTGTTTATTGATACTAAAAATAACATAAAACATCAAAGCTTTTGCCTCCAAAGTATCTGAGAGATATATGTCTGTAGATATGAGCATGATTTATTGTTGAATGAACTAGTTTTTAATTAATTTATCAATTGACTGACTACACCCATGACTCTGTAAATCAGAATAGCGATGTTATATTACTTGACAAGATACTTCAGCCACATATTTTTCACATTAGATAGATTAATTTTGTTCCATTACATAATTACACAATAACGGCAGAACAAAACACTAAGGTTTTTTTATTTCACAAAGCAACCAACAGCTAGTATTTACTTTACTAGTTATAATAAGTAGACATCTTTTAGTTATTAATTTGTATAAAAGTTTGCTTTTTTTGGTTGAAATTAATTGCTGCTGAAAGTTGTTGTCAACAAACTGCAATTTAAGTCATCTTAAAAACAATAATCAAAGCCAAATGGTGGCTTCGAAGTTTAAGTATGTTTTTTTCGGATTTAGCGTTTAAGTATGTTTTTTTTTTAATATTAGATGTCAGGTTTTAATTTGTGTTGATTTCAAAAATCGAATTGGAATGTGTAACATTAATTAACAACGAAAACATTGACCGCAACTAAGACGCCTGTGAGTCAGCAAACTAAAATAACATTCCGACTCAAGATAAAATAATAACCCGAACCATTACTCATCGCCTTTCAATATTCTTTCATATATCAACCTTTTATATTATACATTCAAATAATACAAAGTTATACGTCAAATGTTCCTTAACGACATTCAAAGTCAGACATTAATAATTAACACGTTTACCTTACAGCGTACCAAAAAGCTGATGACATAACCATTTACATTAAACAAACGTAAACAATGAACTAAAATTTGACACCTCCGAAACTAGACAACACGATCTATTAATAATTATGGTTTATTTTGTAACATTTCGCTAACTCACCTGTTGAGCCACCGGCTCCAAGATACTCTCGATAATTTTCGTGTGAAACACCGGCATCTTGACCACTTTCAAGCACTCCAATTACATTAAAAAACACAATTTACAACACAAAAACTCACTTAAAAATGTTAAAATACAACTAACACAAATAAAAAAAAACACAACCGAACTGCTAGAAAGACAGAAAAATACTAACACTAACTCACTCATTCATTCAACTCAACCATTCGCTCAACTCACTCATCCTTGAGTGTTGGCTCATATTCCGCTCTTGTACGATAACAATCGTTTTAACAAATTTATTTTTCAATAAAATTTTAATATTAATGTTATACGATTCGAAAGTCTTACAAGTTGGCTCTTTCGTAATGCTTTTAGTCCAAATTCCAAAAAGAGCGTTGATATTACAAAATTTCGATTATTATTTAGAAGCTTCTGAAACCAGATTTTTCCTGTGTTGTTTGTAAATTGTTAATTTGGACTATTGTTCTTTCTATTAATGGATAAATTACAATGAAAAAAAAACTTTGAAATTAAAATTAAAATAAATGGGAATTTGAAATATTTCAATCGAGACACAAGAATGAGGCAAGTAATAGTTGATTATGACCTTTGCTCTACCTATAAAATCATTGCAGTCGCTTTTTTTTACTGCATTACTTTTAGAAAATCGTTTTTAAAACGTAAATAAAACTAATAAAATACACTTTTCAGTAATTTTATTTAATTTGCTTTTGAGTCTTTATTTACGTGCAAAACTGGATAAATAATATTTTAGCATTAAACATTTTGAGATGATTAACGAACAATAAAATACTTAATGTAAAATATTACACAATAAACATATAATTAAGTTTACTTTTAGAACCATAATGTTTAAATCCAAACTTGTAATCTGAATTTAAAGATGTATAGAATAGTAAATTGTCTACCTGTAACATATTTAAACATAATCTTTAGTAACAAAACTTAAGATGGGTTTATAATTAATTTTTATTTGGATGAAAGACTAGACTAAGGTATTAATTATATCAACTTAAAATAATTGAACACTCAAATTATTGACTATGTTTTCTTATAGTATATATCACAAAAGAGAGTACAGTAAGCAGCACTAAATATTCCGTCAACCTTTGGAAGAAGACAAGATAATGCTCTACATAGTTGACAGTAACAAGAGTTCGCTTTCTGAAGATTGATGTGAAATATTTAGGCCTTTTACCATAAGAGGTACCAAATCTTATTTCGGAAATATAGTACATATGTTAAAGAGAGAGAGTCAAGTGTATATTTTGTGCAATTCTGTGCGATTCCTTACACTGTTTTATTTTGCTAGATATTTTGTTGATCCTGCTGTACTAAAATAGCAACTTTAGATTAATACAAAAAAAAAGTAAAATCTAAAATAGTTATGTGTAAAAGTTCTATTTAATATTTTTTTATATTAAAAAAAATAAGAAAGTAAAATTGAGCAGTAAGCAATAGTAGTCACAGAAAATAAAATATAAGAAGTGTTTGTAGAAGAGTAACTTAAAATTGCTTTTAAAGAGAACTTATTAACTATCTTATATATTTTTATTTTAACTAACTACACAATGAAAAGTAATCGTAAAATCGATGATTTTGCGAAAAGTTTCAATATATTTTTAAATAAAATTCACCTACATTTGTGAAATAACACTTTTATAGATCGATAAGTACTTTTTTCTCTTTGATATTTAATTTTAATCGAAGTTAAATTTAATAATAAATCTTACAAATATTCAACTATGTCACATTTAATTGAAATATTGGGACAACTAACACCATAGCTTAAATTTAAACCGTGCGGCTGACTTTTGTGTCTCTCAGTGAGAAGTTTTTGAAAGATGGGCAGAATTGCGCACTCGAACAATTCCGATTCCGAACTAGCTGTGTACATTTTACGTTGCTCTGCAGAATCTTGGCGTTTCGAATCACTTCTGCCGTATGTAGCTGATTTACGTTCTTCTTTTTTGCCATTTGACTCTATAAAATACGGGAAGTGTTAACAAAACAAAATATGAAATGTAAACCAAATTATTTTTAAACTGCCTAAGTCACAATCTAAAAAATTAAATTTGTGGTTTGAACTTTGAACATAAACATTCAACTTACCCATTTTATGTCTTGAAGCCACATTAGGGCTACTCTTATGATGATCAGGTCTCGTCTGATGAGTCGCCTGAGTTAGCTTAGGGGATTCCCCTACACCTTTTGCTCTCTTTAAGGGCTCAGCTTCTTGTTTCAACCTTTTGGCCGGTGACTCCGGTCCTTTCGCTACTCTTATTGTGTCAGGGTCAGGTTTCCAAGATTCTGACTCTATTTTAGGTTCAGGAGTATGCTTCCTAGGAATATCGTCATGTCTGCGAGGTGTTGCTTCTGGTTTTTCACTTTTTTCTTCTTGGTATGACCGCATCTGGAAAAATAAAACGTCTTTATCAATCCATTGTATATGCATAACTCATCGTTTACAAAAATGACGTTTTAATGGTATTATAATGGATATACATAAGTCCATTTATTTAAAACTTACATAGGCTGCAGATTGTCGCCTCTTAGTTTGCAGCTGGTGTGGTGGGGTGCTTACAGGCTGCGGGAACTCTGAGCCACGACGCTGTAATATTTATGTAGTAGGCTCATAAATTCTCTTCGTTACATAATAGCACTGAATTCAACGATAGTTATGTTTTGAAGCCATGAGGCATTTGTTTGAATACAGAAGGCTATGAAAATTTGGACTTAAATATTGACGCCGTCATACCTTTGACAATCTATCTGACATCTTCAATGTATCAGAGTCTCGGTAGCCTTCTGGTGTACCACCTCGTGTTGTACCATCTAGAATAACGAAGAAGTTAAAGAGTTGTATTGAAATTGTTACTAAATAACAAATAGATATTCTTTACAGTAAACTTACTATGGTTGATTGAAGTATTTGAAGCTCTCCTTTCCATACTTCTTGTGTCAGGTTCTCTGTAAGAAAACAAACAAATTAAATACACCTAAGTATTGCTTAAACGAGTATATTACTATTAAGCATATAACATTTTGTTACCTGTGGTGGTGAGGCGACGCTTGTTGCCGACTCTTTTCTGACACACTTCTCTGCATAGGTGAATGAGCATGAGCTGAAACAATATAACTTGATTCAATTCGTCTATATACATAACTGAATAAAAAATGAGGGTAGGGGAGACATTATATAATTGGTTAATTGAAAAATATTAAAAACATGAAGAGAACTCTTGAAACCCGTACATTATCAAGTATGGTAATTTAAACTTTAACAGGCAACACTAGATTATTCACTTGTCATTCCCATTAATTAGGGTTGTGACACATATGATTTTTTAAGGCAATTAAAGTACCTGGCGGAGATTTCTGACTTGTGTACTGGAAGGTATTCGTATCCCATAAGTCACTCTGCACCACTATAAAGCTCTCTTTCTTTCTTTTTTCTGAATCTCGTCTTTGGCCTAGAATGTTACAATAGGAGGAGATAACATTTTTAATTTTCGAATCGATCTCAATCGAATATCGATTTCGGCTGTTACAGTGTGAATAAAGTGGAATTAAATATTCAATTAATTTCCTTTTTATAAAACACCACTTACATGATTTTCTTCTTTCCATCGAGGAGAAGTCATGGTCTATGTCCAGGATATCCTCAGGCTCTTGTTTAGGTTTCGGTGGTATGGAAGGTTCTCTCTCTTGACCTAAAAAAAATATTTTTATAAATCTACACCAAACTACTCGTTAGAATTTTTAACAATTTGCATTTAATGTAGGTACAAATCTCGATAAAATTGAAGAATTTGCGTAAATACTTTGGCTTATTCCGGGACTTCAATATTAGGATGTAGTTATTGCCATACTCAGAGTTATAAAGTTATCTCCCTTAGTGTAGAGTTCTAGGAGCTCTGTTTGACCTTCACTTTAACTAAATCATTACATTTTATCTTCCTGTCTCGCTTACATCTATAGAGTTGAGCAACAACTTACCGATGACCTTCCTCTCCATACTCTGGTCATCGCGGTCCACAGAGATGTGCATGAGGTCAGCCAGCATGGCGGGGCTGGCGCTGGACATGCGTCGGTGGCGGGACTTCACCTCGCGCACTGGTGTTGCTTTGGTCGTTGTATCCGGTGGCTTTG